GCTTCTGAGGCTGATGGGAGAGATTTCCTTTTCTCTTCTTTGTCCTCACAGCTCACAGGGCCTCAGCTTTGGATTTGGCCCCGCCTCTGCGTGTAGGTCGCTGGCGGGGGTCTGTTTTTTGCTCAGACAGGACGGGGTTAAAGGAGCTGCTGATTCGGGGGCTCTGGTGCACTCAGGCCGGGGGGAGGGAGGGGCACGGCGTGCGGGGCGGGCCTGCGACGGCAGAGGCCGGCGTGACGTTGCACCTGCCCGAGGCGCGCTGTGCATTCTCCTGGTGAAGTTGTCCCTGGATCCCAGGACCCTGGCAGTGGCGGGCTGCATAGGCTCCCCGGAAGAAGGGTGTGGATAGTGACCTGTGCTCGCACACAGGTCCCTTGGTGGCGGCAGCAGCAGCCTTAGCGTCTCCCGCCCGTCTCTGTGGTCTGCGCTTTTAACCGCGGCTCGTGCCCGTCTCTGGGGTGTGCGTTTTTAGCGGTGGCTCGCGCCCGTCTCTGGAGTTCCTTTAAGCAGCACTCTTAAACCCCTTTCCTCGCGCACCGGGAAACAAAGAGGGAAGAAAAAGTCTCTTGCCTCTTCGGCAGCTCCAGACCTTTTCCCGGACTCCCTCCCGGCTAGCCGTGGCGCACTAACCCCTGCAGGCTGTTTTCACGCAGCCAATCCCAGTCCTCTCCCTGCGCTCCGACCAAAGTCCGAGCCTCAGCTCGCAGCCCCACCCGCCCCGGCGGGTGAGCAGACGAGCCTCTCGGGCTGGTGAGTGCCGGCTGGCCCCGATCCTCTGTGCGGGAATCTCTCCGCTTTGCCCTCCGCACCCCTGTTGCTCTCCTCCGTGGCTTCGAAGCTCCCCCCTCTGTCTCCCACAGTATCCGCCTGTGAAGGGGCTTCCTAGTGTGTGGAAACCTTTCCTCCTTCACAGCTCCCTCCCACTGGTGCCGGTGCTGTCCCTATTCTTTTGTCTCTGTTTTTTCTTTTTTTCTTTTGCCCTACCCAGGTACGTGGGGAGTTTCTTGCCTTTGGGAGGTCTGAGGTCTTCTGCCAGCATTCAGTAGGTGTTCTGTAGGAGTTGCTCCACCTGTAGATTTATTTCTGGTGTATCTGTGGGGAGGAAGGTGATCTCCGCCTTTTACTCTTCCGCCGTCTTCCCCGCTCTACCTGTTCTTCTTTCTTAAGATTGCTTTCCCTATTTGGGTTCTTCTGTGGTTCCATACAAATTTTAGATTTGTTAATTCTATTCTGTGAAAAATGCCATTGGAAACTTGATAGGGATTGCATAGAATCTGTGGATCACTTTAGGTGGTATGGCGGTTTTAACAATAATAATTCTTCTGATCCTTGAGCATGGAGTATCTTTCCACTTATTTGTGTCATCTTCAACTACTTTTATTAATGTCTTATTGTTTTCAGTGTACAGATCTTACACCATTTTGTGTGAATTTATTCCTAAGTATTTTATTCTATTGATCATATTTCAAATGGGATTGTTTGCTTAATTTCTCTTTCTGATAGTTCATTGTTAGTGTATAAAAATGTGACTGATTCTTGTATATTGATTTTCTATGCTGCAACTTCAGTGGATTCAGGACTGTCATAACAAAGTACCAACAACTGAGTGGCCCAGAACAATAGAAATTTATTATCTCACAGTTCTATAGGCTAGAAAACAGATTAAGGTGCTGACAAGGTCATGCCCTCTCTGAAGGTACTAGGGAAGGACTTCCCCCCCCCACAAAACAACATTTGATTTGAGAATAATGGGAAAATTAAGTAATGGGAATTGGACCCTCATCGGGGTCTTCTGGGAAATCAGAAGCACCACCCTCTTCTGCAGCTCTATGCTTCTTTAGTTTAGCAATCAATTCTTTTGCTGGATTGAAGATGCCATTGGTCTGCTGGTCACAGGCATAGCACGGGGTGGTGCAAAAATGCTGCAGTGCACAGCTCTCACAGAAATAATGCCTGTGTAAGGAACGGCACCAAAGACGGAGGACAGCTTAAGCAAGCTTTATTAGGGAGCGCTCCCGGGCGAGGTTCACGGGTCCGAGAGAACGGGGCCAGAGAAGTCGCGCCCGGGCGAGGGTTTGGGCAGAATTTATAGGGGAAGAAGGGAAAGGGGTGTGGTGACTCCGGGAGGGCACAGGATATTCCTTATTTGGTGGTCTCTTCGGGTATCGTGGCAATATCTGGTGCTGGTTGTATCAGTCTTGGGACCGTTAGTCCCGCCCCTCGAAAGGCGGGAAGGCTGGGCCGGGTGGAAAGTCCCCAGGTCAGTTCCTGGAACTGGGTGATCCGGAAAGTCTCCATGTCAGTTTCTGGAACTGGGTGGTCCGGAAAGTTTCGGTCTGATGCAACCTGTGAGTCTGATTGCGTTCCCCTGCCTCGGGCCAGTTGGCCTTACATCCCGACATCTTTGGTGTAATGGGGCGGCGTTCTGATCCCTGGCTACTTCTTGCTGAATGGGGGCGTCGAAAGGGGAGTCGGGCGACCAGAGGTCCGAGGCTTAAGGGAGACCAGTGGGGGGTTCTGTAGGAAGCAAGGTGTAAGGGCCGAGGAGCATTTGGTTTGTGGCCACCTGAGAGACTTCCTCCATGCGCCTGCGAAGGAACCTAAGAAAACAGGGAGCAAACATGAGCAAGATACAGATGAGAATTAAGGGGCCTAAGATTGGTGTTAGCCAGGTGTAGAGGGTGGATCGCCACCAATCGGGGATTGGGGAGGTGGACTGTTGGTGTTTGCGTTGGAGTTCTTCTCTTAAGCGATGGAGGGCTTTTACGTTGTCTTCGACCAGTCCTGTTTCATTGATGTAATAGCAGCATTCTTCCTGTAGGAAGAGGTAGGTACCTCCTTTGCCGGCGTCAGGAGATCCAGGGCTCGTCGATTCTGGAGAGCGACTCGGGCTACTGAGGTGGTCTGGCGCTGGAGGGAGGTGATGGAGGCGGCAGAAGCCTTGATGGCTAGCTGCAGTTTCTGTTCTAGGTCACGGGATGTTGAGACACTGTGTGTTAGGGCTCCTACCCCGATGCCCGCAGCAACGAGAGAGGAGGCGAGGGAAGTGCCTGCGACCATAGGGAGAAAGATGGCCCTTTGGCCCTTAGAGAGGTCGAGGGCCCGTGTGAGTGCTATCAGTTCAGCCCTTTGAGAGGTTGTCCCTTCTGGGAGGCTGTTAGCCTCGATAATCGTTGAGATAGTTACCACCGCATAGGCTGCCCGTCGGCGTCCGTCAGGACCGAGTATTGAGCTGTCATCTACGAAGAGGGTGCGGTCCGGGTTTGAAAAGAGGGGTGTCAAAGAGTCCCTCTCTCGGCGGGCTAAGGGACTCTACGACTTGGGGGCAGGAGTGGGAAGGGGAGGTCCCGGTATCGGAGATAGGCAAGAGGGAGGCCGGGTTTAGGCCGGGGGGAGAGGTCGAGGGAGATAGCAGGGTTTTCAATGAACAGTAGGTGGAACTCCTGGATACGGGAGGCGCCCAGGAGGGAGAGAGACTTGTGTCCTAGAAGGTCGACCAGCCAGTGGGAGGAAAACACGGTTAGTGGGTGGGCCAGAGTCAGTTTGAGTGTTTGTTTGGTCAGTTCGGCTCCCGCTGCTAGGGCCCGAAGGCATGGTTGCCATCCCCGAATGGTTGGGTCTAGCTGTTTGGAGAGGTAACCCACAGGGCGGTAGGAAGGCCCTATAGGCCGGGCAAGGAGTCCAGTGGCTATTCCGGCCCGTTCATCCACAAAAAGGTGAAAAGGTCGGTTTGGGTTGGGCAGAGAAAGGGGAGAAGATATCAGAGCGTTACGGAGGGTGAGAGAGGCCTGTCGAACGGCGGAAGGGGAGGGGAGGGGGCCTTGAGGGGCTTCTTTAGCGGCTAGATATAAGGGTTTAGCGAGGGGAGAAAAGTTAGGGATCCAGTGCCGGAAAAATCCTATAAGGCCCCAAAAGGAGAGAATTTGCTCCACCGTTTCCGGAGGCTGGAGTTCACGGATAATCCGGGTGCGGTTGGCTGTTAGACCTTTTGTGGTAGGGGTAAGGTGGAGCCCCAGGTAGGTTACAGAAGATACAGATAACTGAGCCTTGGCTGGGGAGACCCGATAACCGCGAGAGCCAAGGTAATTGAGGAGATCTGCCGTATGTTGTCTTGAGAGGGTGAGAGACTATAAGGGAGGAGGTCATCTACATATTGAAGGAGTGTGCTGGGGGTAAGGGAGCAGGAAGTGAGGTCCCGTGCCAGCGCCTGACGGAAGAGGTGAGGACTGTCGCGGAAGCCCTGGGGAAGAACTGTCCAGGTGAGCCGACTGGAAGTATGAGTATCCGGATCCGTCCAGGTAAAGGCGAAGAGGAAATAGGAGTCGGGATGTAGGGGGAGAGTGAAAAAGGCATCTTTGAGATCCAGAACCGTAAAGTGGGTTGTGGATGGGGGGATATGGGAGAGCAAGGTGTATGGGTTTGGTACTACTGGGTGGAGAGGAATTATGGCCTCATTGATTAGTCAGAGGTCCTGGACCAGGAGATAATCCCCAGGGGCCTTGCGGACAGGCAGGATGGGGGTGTTGCAGGGAGAATCAGTGGGCATAAGGAGTCCCTGGTTTAGGAGTCTGGTGATAATAGGTTGTAGGCCCCTAAGGTGAGTCTCAAAGATGGGAAATTGGGGCCTTGATGGAAATTTGCAGGGGTCCTTTAGGCGGATGAGGACGGGGGAATGGTGTGTTGCTATTATGGGCTTAGAAGTATCCCAAACGTGGGGATTGATTGGGTTCGGTGTGATTGGAAGAGGGGGATAGGAGGGGGAGGGTTCTAGAGACAGGCCGAGAAGAGGAAGCAGGAGTTGGGAGGAGGGGACCTTAGGGTCAAGTCTAACCAGCTGGAGGGAGGCCCCTAAGTGGAAAAGGACATCTCGGCCTAGCAAGGGAACTGGGCAGGATGGTATGACTAAGAAGGAATGAGTAAAAGGGAGTCCTTTGTGTTTTCCGGCCAATAGAGAGCCGCCTGAAGGCTGATTGGGTTGGTGAGGTCTGAGGCAGCTTCTGGAATTTCTGAGCAGCCCTGGTCAGTACAAGATGGACCCAGTAGTCTTGAGTTACATGGACAGTCTACTGCGGCAATCAGATGTCTCACTATTGGATCCTCCAAGCTGGCTCAATGACCATATTATTGGGTTTGCCTTTGAGTACTTTGCCAACAGTCAGTTTCATGACTGCTCTGACCATGTCTGCTTCATCAGCCCTGAAGTCACCCAGTTCATCAAGTGCACTGGCAACCCAGCAGAGATCGCCATGTTCCTTGAACCCTTGGACCTCCCTCACAAGAGAGTTGTATTTTTAGCCATCAATGATAATTCCAACCAGGCAGCTGGGGGAACCCATTGGAGTTTGTTGGTTTATCTCCAAGATAAAAATAGCTTTTTTCATTATGATTCTCATAGTAGGAGCAACTCAGTCCATGCAAAGCAGGTAGCAGAGAAACTAGAGGCTTTCTTAGGCAGAAAAGGAGACAAATTGGCCTTTGTGGAAGAGAAAGCCCCTGCTCAACAAAACAGCTATGACTGTGGGATGTACGTGATATGTAACACTGAGGCCTTGTGTCAGAACTACTTCAGGCAACAGCCAGAATCACTATTGCAGCTACTCACTCCTACGTACATCACAAAGAAGAGAGGAGAATGGAAAGATCTCATTGCCACACTTGCTAAAAATTAGCTGTTGAAATGTATTTGTGACTTTTGAAGTCTCCTCGCCTCTCCCCATGTATTTGGATGGCTACAACCTCAGTGCCTGAGGGAAGATGCCTGGTAGAGGAAAGGTTAGAATTCTTACTTCTTCCTGAGAGAATGTTATCCTCTGTATTATCCTAATGGAAAGTTTCACTTTAACCCTAGCTTGAGAGCAATATGTTCTGTGAAAATGTCTTGAAAATATGCACCAAAACCTTAAAACCAAGCTATCTTAACACTTATTAATTCCCTTTTGGTCTCCCTTATCCACATTGGCTTATTCCAAAGGAAAAGCAGTGATTGGTAAAACAAATTAAGACTATGTGAAGTCTAGAATGCAAGAAGAAAATTATAGCAGAACCAAAAACTTATTGCACAGCCCACATATTTTTTTTTATCAAAAGTGATTTGACATAACATGACCTATAACTAAATAAACAATTTAAAAGCCAAAAAAAAAAAAAAAAAAAAAAGGGAGTCCTTCGATATGATATGGGAGTGGACCAGTCTGGAGTGGGAAGGATGGTTTGCCATCAGTACCCATGACTGAGATCTGGGAAGGAGAAACTGGCCCAGAATAGGTAGGCAGGACCAAATAGGTAGCCCCTGTGTCCACCAGAAATGAGATGGACTTACCCGCTACCTGTAGCGTTACCCTGGGCTCGGCGAGGGCGATGGGGGTCTTCGAGTCTGGGCGCCGTCAGTCATCAGCCAATCCCAGCAGTTCGAGTGGTAATGCCATTGGGTCAGCCTGCCCCCCGCGTGGAGACGCTGAGGGAGGGCCAGTCGTAGGGCAGTCACTCTTCCAGTGGCCCGTTAGCCCGCAGCTGGGACAGGGCTTAGAAGGAGGTCGGGGATTGGGACATTGGCGAACCCAGTGGCCTTCTCTTCTGCATTTGAAGCAGGCCCCTGGCGGGGTTGCCTTTTGCGGACCCCGTGGATGCTGTGATCCATGGGAGATGGCCGGCCTTAGGGCGGCTACAAGAGCTTGGGTTTGGAGGGCCCCCTTTGGGTGCATCCGAGCCTGTCTGCTGGATTCTGCCAAATCCTCACGGCCATTATAGACTTTAAAGGCCATCTTTACCAGATCTCGAATAGGGGTCTGAGGGCTGTCTTCTGCCCGTTTTAATTTCTTTCGGATGTCCAGGGCTGATTGGGTAATAAAATGGGTGGCTAGGACCGTTGCCCCTGCCTGGGTGTCGGGATCCAGCCGGGTGTAGAGAGTTAAGGCCTCTGTAAGGCGATTGAGAAAGATAGCTGGATTTTCGTTAGGTTCTTGGGTTATCTCTTTTAGTTTCTCAAAATTGACTACCTTATGAGCGTCAGCCTGCATGCCAGCCAGGAGGCATTGGATCATGAGGTCGTGTTTACGACGGCCATCTTGGCCATCCTGATAAGTCCAGCCTGGATTGGTGCCAGGTACAGCAGTCGCTCCGACAGGCATGGAGTTGTCGGTGAGGTGAACCTGATCTGCATGGTTTCGGGCAGCAGTTTGAATTCTTTCCCTCTTGTCAGGGGTCAGAGTAGAAGATAGGATCACAAAGATATTGTGCCAGGTTAGATCGTAAGCTTGAGAGAGGTAGCGAAATTCTTTGATGTAGCGGGAAAAGTCGGCAGAAAAGGAGCCTAATCGCTTTTCTATTTGAGAGAGATCTTGGAGGGAAAAGGGAACATGAACTCTAACTAATCCGTCCGCTCCTGCTCCCTCCCTCAGAGGGCAGAGGAGGTTTGGATCTTGGGAGTCCTGAGAGCGTGTATGTGCACTAATTGGCGAAGCAAGGGGTGTGGGAGGAGAAACCGTTGAGGGAGGCGGGGGAGCAGTTGGAGGGGCCGGAGGGGGTTCGGGAGGAGGAGGGACCGCTTCGGGGTAGGATGGAGGTTGGAGAGGAGCTCTGGAGGGGGGAGAGGCGAGAGATTCGGGTGGGTCGGCTAATGGAGAGGGGTCATCGTCAAAGGAAATTAGGGGCTTGGATGTAGGAGATGTCTGTTTGGCAAGAAGGATCTGGGAAGCGGAACAATCGACGCAGAGGGAAGGGCGGGAGTGTAAATACCAGAAGGCCTGTACATAGGGGACCATTTGCCCGTCCTGCGGCAGTAATTATCTAGATCACGGAGGATGTTAAAATCGAAAGTCCCTTCAGGAGGCCATTTGGATTGATTGTCTAGAGGATATTGTGGCCAGGCCACAGTGGAATAGAAAATAAGCCGTCGGCAACGGAGATCTTGGGAGAAGCCGAGGGCTGTAAAATTGGCTAGGAGACACCCCAAGGGCGTCTTAGGATCTGGTTTCGATTGTGAGGTTCCCATGACCCCCAGTCTGTCCCTGGTCTCACTCTCCAATTCACGGCAGGTCAGAGAGCAGTCAGGCAATTGGGACGCCTCCACAGTTGCCCGAGGCCCGGAGAGAGGACGAGGAGTCCCTGACGCGGCCGCGATTAAGGACAGGGAGTCCGGTGGGCAGGGACTCTGAGGGTCGGAGGGAACAAGGGAGGGGGACTTACCCCGTTTTCTGCCGGATCGGGTGGATGAGTAGAGGTTCCCTGGTTGTCTCCTGGGGGAGGGGAGGAGCGGCCCGCGCGGTAACCCGTGGGGCTTGGTACCCCTCCCGGGTTTCGGCACCAAATGTAAGGAACGGCACCAAAGACGGAGGACAGCTTAAGCAAGCTTTATTAGGGAGCGCTCCCGGGCGAGGTTCACGGGTCCGAGAGAACGGGGCCAGAGAAGTCGCGCCCGGGCGAGGGTTTGGGCAGAATTTATAGGGGAAGAAGGGAAAGGGGTGTGGTGACTCCGGGAGGGCGCAGGATATTCCTTATTTGGTGGTCTCTTCGGGTATCGTGGCAATATCTGGTGCTGGTTGTATCAGTCTTGGGACCGTTAGTCCCGCCCCTCGAAAGGCGGGAAGGCTGGGCCGGGTGGAAAGTCCCCAGGTCAGTTCCTGGAACTGGGTGATCCGGAAAGTCTCCATGTCAGTTTCTGGAACTGGGTGGTCCGGAAAGTTTCGGCCTGATGCAACCTGTGAGTCTGATTGCGTTCCCCTGCCTCGGGCCAGTTGGCCTTACAGCCTGCACTTGGTGACAACTGGGTTTTGGAAGGTCTGGCGACAGATGAACGGTATTTACTCGTCATCGCTTCCCACTTCATAGTTTTCATCCTTATGGGCATCATAGCGACCCTCGTCAAGCTCACGTTCGATCTGCCAGCCATGTTTGTAATCTGAACGGTCATGGAGGAATTTGCAGCTGTCTCCAAAGCCGCAAAAGCCAGTCTCCTTGTAGTCCTTACAAATGTCGGGCTGGTAATCCCAGCTCACGGTGGCACGCAGATGCTCGGGAGCTCGGATGGGGCCTTTCCGCACCATCTTGGAGGAGGCATTGCCCATTGATGTATCCTTGGGCTTCATGTACTTCTGATAATTATTGATTCCCCGATAGATCTTGTCATCTTCCTTGTGCCTCAGCTCCTCCTGGATCTTCTGGCTGCGCTCAAAGATGGCTTGTGCGTCACGCTCCTTCTCTGTGTCTAGCTCGTAGACCGCAGTCGCACCCATATCCTCTGGCCCCACGGGTTTCCCTGAGCGAGTGGACTTACAGACCACGCCGAGGCTCTCGGGCTCGTTCTCCTCCTGGCTACTCTGGTCACCATAAGCTGCCTTCTGTTTACCAATGCCAGGGGTCTTCTGTATCATCGGATTGTGGGTCGCCCGCTTCTTTTCCCGGCTAACCACAGCGCTGCCTTCGTCACTGTTGCTGCTGTCGTCTCCGGACTCTTGGTGGCAGATCGGGCGCTTTCTGAGACCTGTAGCCCCTTTTCGCCCAGGCTTTTTGAAAAGAAAGGTGCACATCTGGTCTGTCATCTTTCCTGGAAAAAGTTGCTCTGCCGTTTTAAGAGTCTCGGGTTCCCAAACGGCTGTGGCCTGCTGGGTGGGGCGGGGCTTCTTCACGTCACTGCACGTAGTGCGCTCCGCCGCACGTGCATGCAAAATCGGTTTCAGAAAAAGGCGTGGCCGTGGACACTGCGGGAGCACGAGTGGCCATAGTTCTTTGACTTGGGGTAGCATAACTCCAGTGTTCACGTGGCTTTCTCCCTGTGTGTTTGTCTGTCTTTTCACATGGTGTTCTTTTTATCAGGACAACAGTCATATTGAATTAGGGACCCATCGTACTCCAGTTTGATCTCATCTTAACTAATTACATCAGCATGATCCCATTTCCAAATCAGGTCACATTCGGAAGCAATGGGAGCTAGGGCTTCAACATATAAATTTTGAGGGGGTGGGCTCAATTCAACCCATAGCACATCTATTAAATCACCTGTTACAACTTATTATAATTAGTTTATTTATCTATTATTTTTAAAATAATTAGTTTATTTACGTGTCTTTATTCCTTAACTCCTCTGCAGAATATAAATTCTTTCAGGGATTCCTCATTAATCATTAAAAAACAAAACAAACAAAAAAAACTCCCAGTGCTTAGCACATTGCCTGATACAGAAGAAGGCAAAATACTAGTTGTATGGCTATTTTAAGTGGTAGACTCTGATAATCTAAGGTCTGGGATTTTTATTCTCCCTTTATTATAATAACATCTAATATTTACCCCAAACTCTAGTTATTTGGTTGCCCCAAATAAGTTATTACTTATTTTTTTGGCAGGTAGTTGATACGGCTTTAATTAAATCTAATGGGACAATGTGACAGAGAGATTAAACCAGGCATTTCTTCACGCCATTTGGTGATCTGACCAAGGAAATCAGTCTTTAAAAATTCCTTAAGGCATTTTCATTTCATTTAATGATCAAATTAGATATTGATGTATTTAACCTCAATATCTTCTGTATTCTGTTACCTGCTTTAATTTGAATTTAGAAGTGATCGAACACAGGAGGTCATTATATGCATGACTGCACATTCTGGTTTTGTGAATTCATGTTCAAGTCTGATGCTTGAAAATCAGTTCACTATAAGCTTTGGATATGAGACTGTAG